AATATATGAAAAATTGATGTGGGTATTCAAATGAAAGGTCTTGATGAGTGTAACATCGGGATGAGCTTATATCTTTAAAAATGTCAATAGTTCTCAAGATACAAGATCATTTCTTAATTATGTATCTAGGATAGAGCATTTTCGAATGCAGCCTAAATACTTATCATAATAAATTGACTATCGGTGAGAATGATATGAAACCTTAAAAAGGCACAAATTCAAATCAAGACCTTTGCAATGACACTAAACAATAATAATAAATTATTAAATAATAATAAAAATTTCAGGTGGACATTGAGTCATTCGAGTACACAATAAACCAACTGAACAACTACTTCGCAGAAGCGGAGCGAGCAAGTTGTTCAACGTACTGCGAGGGTTGCCTGGCGTGCCTGACCGGGTACTTAATCTACATCTGTACAGAAACGCACTACGAAAAGTGCTTAAGGAAGGTCGCTAAGTTCATCAGCGAGCAGAACGACCGCGTCTACAGGCCGCGGGGCCTCCTTCTGACTGACCCAACGACCCGGGGACTCAGACTTATAGAAATTTCAGTCCTGGACCGGCCGCCCTCGTGACTGCATGTCAGCCGATCCACCGAATTTTTTATGTGACCTCCAAACTAACAACCTAACTTTTTTTTTTACTTAAAAGTAACTATTAATTAAAATTGCTATGCATTTACGTGCAATTACTTCCTTAAATCTTCCATTATTTTATTTTTTATTTTTCCCAGAAAAGGAATGCCGGTAATTGAAATTTGAATTAAATAAGTGGATTGGCTGAATTAATTATTATAATTAATTAGTTATGTTGAGATTTGTCCCAGTTAAGGAGCGTGGGGAGAAAAAAAAAAAGAAAAAATAATTTTTTAGTTCCTGAACCGTGAGTTTGATTTTTTTTATTTTATTATTTTTAATTGCATTTGTTTTATAATTAATTATTAATAATTAACTGGGACCTTGCAATAAGTCTGAATTTTTAATTATTCATTATTAATAATTAATAATCGTAAATCCATTCACTAAAAGTGACTAATAAATGTAAATAGTACACACGATTTAAATTTAAAATACATGGTTAATTAATAGTAGATCAAAATCACAAACGATTTAATATTATATTAAGTACATAATATGTGACGAATTTAATTAAATAAATTGATGAATATTTATTTTTTTAGTCGAATTATTTTAGGAGTTTTTTAAGGAGATCCTTTCGCTATCAATGTTAAATAAAAAATTAGGATGACGGTTGACCCTAAAGGCCATCCCTGCAACTTCCCGCTCAATTTGTACTTAAACGCTTCAAACTACACATTACGTTTTTGAGCTCTTCGAGCTCAAAAATATTATTTTTGTGTCAATTTGGGCTCTTCGAGCTCAAAACTCAGATAGCAGTTTAAAGACACAATTTTTGAATTTTCAAACGGCAATAACTTTTGAATGAATGAACCGATTTTCACGCGGTTGGCGGCAATCGACGCAGTTTTTGAAGCTCCATGAAAAATTTTCAAGTTTAAATCGATCGAGCCATGAATTTCGAAGTTATTACAAAAAAAACACTTTTTTCGATTTTTTTCGACAACGATATCTCACGAACGCATCAACCGATTCTGACGTTTTTGGTGGCGATCGATGGGGGTTTTCAAGGTTAAGAACTGATTAGTTTTTGAGACCGATCGGCTCAGCCAATTCGGAGATATTTAAAAAAAATAAAAAAAAACAACTTTTTTTTTCACTTTTTTTGCATTTTCTCGAAATCTATCGGTCCGAATTGGTTCCAACTCTCAGGAAATCTAAGTTTGGCGAAGCCCTTTCGAGTGACACCAACCGTGATGAAATCGGTCAAGTCGTTCAAAAGTTACAAGAGGTTTACATACTCACACACACACACACATACATACATACATACAGACGTACGGATATCATCGTAAAAATAGTCAGGGAAGCTTCCTGTGACCTTCAAACATCGAGATCTGATGAAAACTCGATTTTTGTAAAACGGGGTGAAAACAATAACTTCCCGATTTTTGAAAATCTGAGATTTTTAGCGGGAAGTTAAAAATATTAGATTATGCATAAAATTAATTTTTATTTAATAGTTAAATTCCTTATTTATCTACCAGGGTAAATACCCCAATAGATGGACGGTTAAGCAAACTCTCGTGTGCTATTAAAAAAACAATATAGTTATGAACAGATAAGTTGTGATAAAGTAAATTATATTTATGTAAAATATATAATTAACTAGGAAAAAATAAGCAAAAGTTCGTAAAACGTTGTAGTAATTAATAAAAAAAAAAAAATATAAGAAAAAGTCCAAAACCCCAGTAGATGGACAAAATCTCCAGTAGTTGGACAGTCAATACCAATAGATAGACACTATTTACAAGCGATATTTTCAATTCATTATTTATATCAGAAATAATTAATTCATTAATTTTTTCCACTAAAAAATAAAGCTTGATAAAATTAAAGAGAAAAGGTGATAAATCGGATAGTAATTTTCAAAATACATCATAAAGTAATTTTATTATTTTTTAACACATGATGCTTTCTCATGCAAAGTAACATAAAAAAAATATTAATATAAAGAATACTAATAATTAATAATCAATATAAATTTATAAAACACAACGTTAAAAACATTTTATGTTGTCTTCTTCTTCCTTTCAATAGGTCTGTTCTCTTTTGCTTTAATTATTACGTAATCTGTCGTCAGTTTTAATGCAGTCAAGAGGCGGAACTTTTAAACAATTCAATTCTTCTTCAGGGATGAAATATTTATTTACATGTAATTCTTTCCTTGAATCTACCTCGTCACCAACATCCAATTTCAAAAAATTTTGTTTAATTTCATTGGCATGGTGTATTTCCTTAGCCGTGAGATGCATTTTTTCGGTATCTTCATTACTTTTTTTATTTATTTCTTTTGCAATCTTAAAAAAACTATTTTGTTTTTTTCTTCGATTTTCAGGGCCTCTTTTCCACGATTCTTCTGTGAAAGGATCGTCCTGAATTTCTCCAAGCTTCAATTTATTTTTTGTCTTTATTTTTGGTAGCTTCAGCTTTTTGTTTTCTTTCTCAGTTCTTTCTTTATGGGGTTACCCGTAAAATTCCTAAAAACTACCTCTGGAGTCCCACAAGGCTCAGTTCTTGGACCGATATTATTTCTAATAGTAATGAACTCGGTAGCTAAGCGATTAATTTATACAAATTATGGTCTGTTTGCGGATGATCAATTCGCATTTACCTTCATTTCTACGACCATCAACTTCAAGACGCTATTAGACAAATTACGATAGATGCTCAGGCTGTTGCTGATTGGACAAGAGAGAATGGCTTGCAATTAAATCTATCCAAAACTAAAACAATGATTCTTGGCTCAAGTTCTAGGCTAAAAAAGTTACAAGCAAATGGTATTCCACCAATTGTCATTGACGGATTTGCACTCCCTTACGTAGAGTCAACTAAGTGTTTAGGTCTTCATATTGTAAACAATTTATCTTGGAGTTTGCATGTGTCAAAGACTGTAAATAAAATTAATTCAGCGTTATATAGTTTAAAAATAAGAAAAAACATCTATACTAAAGACATTAGGAGGTTATTAGTCTCAGCAACTATATTACCGCTTATCGATTATTGTTCTATAGTATTAACTAGTTGTACTGCTGATGAGAATTGTAAATTACAACGCTCATTAAATACAGCGATTCGTTTTATTTATAATTTGAAAAAGGATGTACATATTTCACCATATAGACGAGAGCTTGGATGGCTATCAGTAAAAAGCCGCCGAATGTACTACTTAGCATGTTATTTTTATAAACTGTTGAGTATAAGAAAACCTAGCTACTTACGAGAACTATTTATTGAAGATATTGATACTAGACATTCTGTAAGACTAGCAGCAAAAAAGAATTATGTAAATTTCAAGTTACCTAAATATACTACAACTATCTATGAATTATCATTTGTAGTTACTTGCATTCGTCTTTGGGAAGAATTACCAAACGATGTGATAAATGCTCCCAGTATAGAAATTTTTAAAAATAAGCTTTATGATTACCTTTTTAATCTAGACATCTAAATCTAAAATAAATTTTCAGTTAAATCTTTAAAATTTTTAAAATTATTAAATACAGTAAAACCATTAAATCATTAAAATTATTAAAATTAAAATCTTTAAAATCAAAATCATAAATATTGTAATCTATTAGTTTTCATTTTCACTTAAATTGTTTCTTCAATATTAGTATATAAGCAATATTACTTCTTCTAATATCTTATTATGTATAATTATATATAAGTTATAATTATTATGTTTAAATCAAAAAATTTAAAAATGTATTGTATTCACAAAATGTATATTTTTCTATTGCCATCTGGCCAGTGAAGGCTTTGGCATAAATCAATAAATTCAATTCAATTCAATTCAATTATTAGCTCTACCCGTTTTTTGACGTTCGGTCAAAATGGGGATGTTTCTTTTCACCAGTCTACCAGGTAGAGCCGCTGCTTGCTCTTGAATAAATTCCGTAATTTCTACGTTCTTTCTATTATCGAATAAGGGCTTCATTATCTTGTGCCAGTTTTCAATACTGGCATTTGAATCTCGAAGAATTTTAAACTTTTTAATGACACTTGCGGACCACAATGGATAATATGGCAGCCACGTCATTAAAATGTAATGAATTATTTCGAGGCAGTAAAATTTTTGTCGCTGTGGATTTTGGTCTTGTTGAGTTTTTTCCGGAATGCCCTTTATTTCTTCATCTGCATCATTTTCCTCATCTGATGAGGAACATGACGTATCTGACAAACCGTCATTGTCACTCTCGCTGTCGTGTTTTAGGCAATTTTTGCGATCCTCCGAATCGTTGATGGCTCCATTATTTGTTTTCGAAACGTTTGTTTTATTTTTTCTATTTTTTAGAAGTATGTAATCATTTAAATTATATTTTTGAATTGTTTTTGTGTAAACTATCTTAAAATGTCTGTGATGAAATGAATTCAGGTAGTTTGAATTTGACCAAGGCATTTTTTTTATTACTTCTTTTTCTTTTTCTGATAGTAATGTCTTATCAATATTTATACTTTGAAAATTAAACTTTTCCGCAATGATCTCTTTCCGTTCTTTATCATCAACTTTACCCATAAATATTTTAATTATTGCCTCGAAAACGTGTTCGGCTGCTTCAACTGTTGTACAGTGGATGAGATTTGATACTGCTTCCATAGCAACATCCAGTTCATCTTTTTGTATTTTTAATGACTTGAAATGTCTTCGAGCAGTATTCAACATATGCGATGAGCAAATGTGAATAACTGTCATTCTCGATAGTTTTTCAATACTCTTGTAAGCTTTATTCATGTAAGTTGTTAAGTTACATTCATTTAGCGCTTTGCAACAGGATTGCAACAGTGCTAAGCTAAAGTCAGTTTCGATTTTATCAATCAGTGGTATTCTATGTGGGTCAAGCGATTGAAGATCGTACACAAAATGATTTAAGAAATCTGTTATCGTCGGTATATTATGCCGTGAGCTTACAAATTCGGCTACTGGGAACGGACCAATACGTTGTTCCTCATTTCCCGGCAGAAGAAGAGTATAGTAATATACTTTCGATGAATTCTCGTGTAATTTTTTTATTAACTTTCCTGTTGCATCTATGTCACAGAAAGTAAATCCCGGTTTTGATTTTAATAATACTCGTAATTGTTCTTCAGTGTACAAGTGTACAACAAAATCTACCTCACCAAATTTTTGAATAAATCCATAATTTAACTTTTTTGATTTCCATTTTGTGTTGTAGTCTTCTATAAGCCGATAAATACACTCAATGGTATCTTTATTCAAAAATTTTTCCTTTCGAGCTTCGGATTGTATTTTATGGATTGTATCTAAGCTTGGAACGTGATTAAAATTGCCTTTCTTCAATGTTTCTTGATCTGCAGAAACAAGTATTTCTTCCTGACAACGAAGTCCTGATTTTCCTTCTACTTTAGTTTTCAACTCATCACGTTCCTGTCCATTGATATTGCGCTTATGGTTTTCATGTTCCTTATGTTTAATTTCTGTCTCGTGATATACATTAATTTCTGTAAAATCCTGCATCTGTGGTTTTCCTTTAAACGTTAATTTGTACTCAGTACATAAACTATTTTTACAATGTGCTGTACTTGAAAATGTAATTTCACCGTTTTTGCAACCATATATGTGATGATTGCCGAAACTTAAATTACAGTACTTATATGAATTTTCTTGTTCAAAAATTTTATTTAATGCGTTCGTCCACCCATCTTTCATTTTGTTATTACCTATCAAAAACTCTGACCAAAACGACGACCGTATTTTCAATGACGGTCTTTGAAAACTCCATGACTTCCGCAGACGTAATTTTTTTGGAGGGCATTCCACATTTCCACCGGCATTGAGTGTATCATAGGGTCTCTTTTTGTTCAATCTGTCGACATTGTTATTTGCTGAACTTTCGTTGTTATTATTCCCGATATCTCCAACGATGTCATCTATTTGAGGTTCAATTTCGCAATCTGTCAATTTATCTAATATCTCTGCAGTATCAATATTAACATTTGTTAAAAAATAAAATCGTAGAATTAAAGTTTTCTTGTTGCAACTTTGGTCATAGAAGGTTGGTCAAAATACTAAAACTTTTGAAATAATTAGTTTTCTACACTTCTCACAAAAATTAAGAGAGCAAGAAAAAAATTTCGAAATTTTTTTGGTTTTTTTTTTGTAAAATCTACGGACTTGGAAAAAAATTTTTTGACTTAATCTTTAGATGAACCGGAAAACTTGATTATTCGGCTTTAATTTGATTTCTTAAAAATCTCGATCCGAGCATTTTTCGCTGAGATATCGGTGTTTGAATGGAAAAAGATCATTTTGTCTTTGATTACCAATATCTCAGCAACCAATGATCGCACAAAAAAATCAAGGTTAGTTTCGAAAATTTGAATAAATTCCCTACAAGGATTGGCTATTAATTTTTTGAAAAAAAATTACAAAAACGGTTCACCCTAAAGGCCATCCGTGCAACTTCCCGCTAATTCCATTCCTGGGTGCTTAAAATTGTACTTATGACATTTTTGAGATTTTTAAACTCAAAATATAATTTATGTGATATTTTGAGCTCGCTGAGTTCAAAGAAATAATATTTCAATGCATTTGAGCTCAATGTATTTGAGCTCTCCTAGCTCAAAAGTCTGATAGAAGTTTCATAGAACACTATTTTTGGAATTTTCAAACCGCAATAACTTTTGAATGGATCAACCAATTTTCACGCGGTTGGCGCCATTCGACGCAGTTTTATCATCCTTATGAGTTATTTTCAGGTTTTAATTGATCGAACCGAAAATTTCGGAGTAATCCCAAAAAAACACTTTTTTCGGTTTTCTTTCGTTCACGATATCTCTCGAACGAATCAACCTATTTTGACCAGCTTGGTGGCAATCGACGTGGTTTTTTGATGTTAAGAGCTGATTAGTTTTTGGAATCGATCGGTAGAGCTGTTTGAAAGTTATTCCAAAAAATGTCGGAGTTATGTTGAAAAAATCCTTATTTCCAAATATTTCGTCGAGGATATCTCTCGAACCAATCAACCGATTATTACGTTCTTGGCGGCGATCAACGCGGATTTTTGAGCTCTAAAAATTATTTTATTTCACCAAAAACGATCCGAAAAGAAATATCGAAGTTATGTGAAAAAAACACTTTTTTCGGTTTTCTTTCTTTCACGTTATCTCTCGAACGAATCAACCGATTTTGACCAGATTAGCGCCGATCGGCGTGGTTTTTCAAGCTTAAGGGCGGATTAGTTTTTGAAGTTGATCGATAAAGCCGTTTAAAAGTTATTCCAAAAAAACCACTTTGAAAAAAAATTTTTTTATCTATCTATTTACAATTTTTTTCCGGAATATTTTTTATGGTTATAAATTATAAGTTACCAATACTAGGAGAAATTAAAAAAAATTTTCTTAATTTCCATAAATTTTTATTGTTAAAATTTACCTTATTTCATATATTATCTTAACCTAAACATTTACATTTCATTAACCTTATAACATGCATTACTATTTATCATTACTTACATTTATTACACTTTAAGTATAAGTTATTTGTCTAATTATTATCAAAAGACTAAAAATCTTTTCATTGTTTAATTATTTATTTATTCTATTTATTTCAGCGTGAAAGAATTTTCACGGTCATAAAAAGTCTCAATTGACTCGTTTATAATTTTCTATTTCATTTACACTGGACATTTTGATTTCGTTAAATTAAATCACAAAAAAGACAAAATCTCACTTTTATAGCCTCCAAATTCTTATTTCTAAAAAAATTTTTTTAGTTTTCAAAAAATAAATTAATAAAATTTTTTTTCTTGCTCAAAAAGTAGTGATTACGTTGATCTACATTAAAAGACGCGTAAAATGACTACCCACATGACTTTTTCGATTTTGACAATTTACCCAATTGTTTTTAACAATTAGAACAATTATACCATTGTTAACATTTAATATGTCAATTAATTGCCGCTATCTTGACTTTTGATCGTCTTTTTGTTTTCAATAACAATTTTTTCCAATTGTTAACAATTACACTCCCAATTGTAGATAACAATTGTCATAATTGTTAACAATTAATTACATTATCAAATTGAGACCTAATTGTCAAAAGTTAAACCAATTTTTTTTTAACTATTTCAATTGTTAACACCAATTGTTCTAACTGTTAACAACAATTATTATACCAATTATCGAAAGTAACTATTCCAATTGTTAACAATTGGTCAAATTACTTTCAATAGCCCCAATTGTTATTAATCACACCAATTTTTTGTTCCAATTGTTTTTGATTTTGAAGAACAATTGTTAATAATAATCATTCTGATTTTTGAAAATTTTCTTAATTACTCTAATGTAGAGTAATTACTCCAATTATTTACAACAATTATTTCAACAATAGACAATAATTGGTCCAATTGTTTACAATTATCCCAATTATTCACCATTGGTTTAATTGTTATTAATTGTTACAATTTCTTGTAACTTTTCCAATTATTAACACCAATTTCCTTAACTGTTCATAACAATTATCTTAATTGTTCACAATAATTGTCCCAATTGTTCAATATTGGCTTAATTGTAGGTAAAAACTTTTTAACCACCAATTTTTAACTCCAATTATTTAAATTTTATAAAAGAATTGCTTCAATTGTTGACAGCAAAATTTTAATTTTTAACAATAATTCCAATTGTTCAACATTGTCTCAATTGTAAATAATCGTTCCAATTTAAATTGTTAAAACCAATTATTTCAACTATTAACAACAACCATTCCCATTGTTTACAATGATTGTCCCAACATAAGCACAATTGTAATCAATAAGTACAATTTTAAACCACCAATTGTTAACCCCAATTGTTAACACCAATTACCTTCACCATCACCGAACCTAGTCATGCGGGTATTCAATCTCCGCGTAATTTCCTTCGGATTTAAAAAACCCACTTCTCTTTTCCATAAAAAATTTCTATCGTCCAAGAAGCTCACTATTCCGGTATACTTTCAAGAGCACTAGAGTTAGTGAGCCGTCAAATAAGCAAGCAGAGTTTGTTTTTATTGCTCTTCCGGTCAGGAAGCATAACCTTGACCTTTCCAGTATCTTCCGAATTATTTCTGGTATAAAGAGACTTGCTGAGTCGATGTCTGACTCCTTTCCCGAGTGACCTTCCGCCCTTCCGAAGCGACGCGAACCTCCCAAGAGCGGTCTTGGGGAACTCTTTGGCAGTTCCAGGAGTCGCAGTCGTGCAGTTGAGAGTAGTCACTGTAAATTCGATGTCTTTCGGCTCCTGGGATACGAACTCCTCGACGGGTTCTTCGATGGTGTCGCGGTCGATCCACGTGAGCCCCATCTCGACTTTCTCTGCCAAATCCTGCCAGTTCCTCCGATTCTCGGTGGTGCCCTCGTAGAGAGGCATGATCCACGGGAAGGTCTCTGAGAGGACCTTGTACAAGGGCAGGCAGATAACGTCGATAAACCCGACTTGCATCTGCGGAAGTTCGTCGCGGCGTTCGCGGTCCATCATCGCGACTGGCTGTTGGTTCAGCTGGAGCTTCTCCAGGTCGCCCTGGTCGAAAAATTCATCGGCCACTAGCTTTGCTACTCGGTGCTGGACGTCCCAGGGCTTGGCTATCGCGCTCACGTCGCAGGCTGTCATCATCATTCCGCAGAGTACTGAAAAATGAAGCTATGAGTGATTTTACCGAAATATTTTGCTAGGATTCAAAAAATTAACTTTGAAAAGTAGAAATTTGAAAAAAGGAGAAAATTCTGCGTAAAATGAGTACCCACAAGCCTAGGTTCAAAATTGTCAAGTGAAGTACGAGAGTGAAGTACGTTACTTGTACTTCATTCGTACTTCACGTGACAATTTAAAACCCAGGCTTGTGGGTACTCATTTTTCGCAGAATTTCACGCTTAGTACTTAGGGCGTATTGAAATTGCGATATTGTTATTATTATATGAGAAAAAGAGTCCAGAATCAATATTGATGCTTACGCTCTTTTTTCTCCTCGCTCTGCCAGTCGAATTCTCCGTCGTCGATCAACTCCATGAATTTGTTTTTCTTCTTGAAGTACACGGCCAAGTCTGTAGAAAGAATTGCACTCTCGACGACCTTCATGACGCGTCGGTAATCCTCCATTGACAAGGTTTGGAAGATGTTGTTGCTGTCGGAGTTGAGAATCATCACGCATTGATCAAAGTGGTGGTGCTCCATGGTGCTCGTAGAGTAGAGGATCGCCAATGGCGACTCGGTTTTTGTCTGAAAGGCGTTGTTTGTTCCTCGGTGGTCCAGATCGTGGCATAGACAGGCCACCAGAAGACCCAAGATCTCTAAGTCGGTCATGAATTGCTCCATTTTTCCCGTTTTTAGCATTGCGAACATCGTTTGAGCGACGTTTAATGCGTGTCGCCAATTGTGGTATTTTACAGGCCTGAAAAATTATTTTATCAGAAAAGTTAAGGGCTTTTAGGTCAACTTTAAGGTCATCAAATTAACCTTAAGGACCAAAGGTCAACAATAAGGGCTTGAAGTTGACCTTCAATTACTATTAACCAAAAAATTTTCTATCTTAAGATTTCCTAAGACCTAAAAGGTCAATTTTAAGGACTGTAGTCAATGAAGGTCTTAAGGTCGATTTAAGGCCCATGATCAGTAATAAGGATTTCAAATTTAATATTAACTTGGGGAAGTTTAGGACCTTATAGGTTGACCTTATGACCTTCAAAGTCAACCTTAAGAGCACAAGGTCCATCATAAGGGCTTCCGAGTTGACCTTAGTAAAAAGTTTAGTAAAAAAATCTACAATATTAACGTTGAAGACCTTGAAGGTCAACTTTAAGGGCCATAAGGTCAACCATGAGGGCCGTAAGGTCAAAAATAAGGTCTTCCTAGTTAAACTTTAATGATTGTAAATAACAAAAATTATACAGTATACAATTTTATGACCTTATAGCTCAACCTTAAGAGCTATGAGGTCAACCTTAAGGTCATCAAGTTGCCCTTAAGGACCAAAGGTCAATAATAAGGGCTTGAAGTTGACATTAAATTACTATTAACCGAACAATTCTCTATCCTAAGATTTCATAAGATCTAAAAGGTCCATGTTAAGGGCTGTTGACCTCATGACCTTCAAAGTCGACCTTAAGGGCCAAAGGTCGATCATAAGAGCTTCCGAGCTGACCTTAAAGTATTTAGTAGAAAAATCTACAGTATGAACTTTTAAGACCTGAACGGTCGACTTTAAGGATTATAGGGTTGACCTTAAGGGCTGTAAGGTCAAGCTTAAGGGCTATAAGGTCGATCTTAAGGACCATAAGGTCCCTAAACAACGTACCTATAATTTTTCTTAACACTAAGAACCCATCTGCAGAGCACATCGTAGGGAATATGAAACCTCTGAATAAGGTCGCAGGCCTTGAACATCCTAACGGTGGCCCTACAGGTGTCCTCATCACTAAGGTCAAAATCAATGAAGGTAAAACTGTAAAGGTTGAACTGCTCTGCCGAGGGAATGGGATCAGTCGTGAGCTTAAGGGCGTCCTCATTGCTCGCGGTTGCGTGGTAGCTCAGACACTCAAGGGCTACCTTTTGTTTCGCCATCAGCTTGCACGCCGATTCATACATCTGGGTATTATGGATACCAAGTCCGCAGAAAATCGCAAAGGCCTCGAATATAGAGACGTCGCTGTCGGTAAACGAGCTTCCGTTGTCCTGAAAAGGTCAAGGACAAAATTAGGTTGAGCTTAAGGTCATTTTGACCTTTGACCTTATCAACACAATAACACTGACCTTATTTATCAACTGAGCTACGCCAATGACACTTCGTTGTCCGTTGACGATCGGCATGCACAGGATACTTTTGATAGGCTCTTTGCTCTGGTCGATGACGCCCTTTCTCAGCCAGATCGCAGCGTCACCTATATTCAGGATCTGACCCGTGCTTGCGACGTATCTTGCGATCCTGCCCAAAGGGCTCGCGAGCTCGCTTACACTGGGCCTGCTGACTCGAGCTTCCTGGACGCCATTTTCCATCTCGAAGACCATCGTGAACTTTGAGCTTCCGTCTGACGCCAACGCTTGTCGAGACAAAATGTCCTCCATGTCAATGTTGTTACTCTGGAAGGTCAAAAGGTCTATTAGAACCTAATTGGGTTCCTATTAGAATTTTTTTAAGGGCTTAAATCCTTGTAAGGCCAATTGGACCTGATTAGGTTGAATGAGGACTAAAAGGTCAACTATTGATTAGGTTCAACCAGATAAAACCTTATTAAGGTTCCGTAAGGTCAACTATATATCGACCTGACTCTAATTACAACTAATTTAGGTTCAAACCTTATTAAGGTCCAGTAAGGTCAACTATTGATTAATTTTAATTAGGTGAAACTTTATTAAGATCCAGTTAGGTCAACTATTGATTAGGTTCAATCAGGTGAAGCCTTTTGAAGGCTTCATAAGGTTGAATATTATCGACTTTTATCGAGTATAACTCTTTTAAGGTCCAGTCAAGTCAAAGATTATTTAGGTTTAAGCAAACAAGACCTTATTAAGGTCCCGTAAGGTCAACTTTTGATTAGGTTCAGTTAGATAAACCTTCTAAAGCCCGGAAAGGTCGAATATTATTAATTTTATCAAAATGAGACCTTATTAAGGTCGATAAGGTCAACAATTGTGTGAATTTAGCTAAGTGAAACCTTATTAAGGTCCAATAAGGTCAACTATTGATTAGGTTCAACCAGATAAAACCTTATTAAGGTTCCGTAAGGTTAATTTTATTGACCTGAGTCTTACAACTTAATTAGGTTCAATAAGGTGAGACCTTATTTAGAACTAACCAGGTTAAAATTACTTAAGTTCAATCAGGTGAAACCTTTTGAAGGTTTCATAAGGTTGACTTTTGTCCAGTATAACTCTGTTAAGGTCCAGTTAAGTCAAAGATTGTTTAGGTTCAGTCAAATAAGACCTTAGTAAGGTTAAAATAAGTCAAACATTGATTAGGTTCAGTTAGATAAACCTCAAATCCGTTAAAGTCAAAGATTGATAGTTTTATTCAGATGAGACCTTAATAAGGTCGATAAGGTCAACTATTATGTGAATTTAGCTGACTGAAACCTTATTAAGGTTGAGTAAGGTCAAACATTGTTGACGAAACCTTAATAAGGTTCCGTTGGTTCATTAACTTGAATCAGGTCAAACTTGATCAGGTTCCGTTGGTCAAACTTTCATTAGGTCCAGTCAAAGAAACAATTGATCAAATTTAGTCAGGTAAAACCTTATCAAGGTCCAGCAAGGTCAGCCATTGTTTCCTTCAACCCCTTTCTAACCAACCAAAAAATTGCTCACCTCTCTTCTGGAAAGCGGTTTGCGGTCCTCCTGAACAGACTTCCCCGGCCTCTCTACAATCTTCTCCAAATGTCCAGCTTCACCACAATCCAAATCCAGCAAGTACACCAAGCACCTTTCACACTTGAGCAACTCCTTGGCTTCCGTCATAATTTTAGTCACAAGACACTCCAAGTTATTCTGTTCCTCGAAGATGCTTCTGGCCAGGTTCAGCAAAATCTGGTTCCTCCGATACTCCAGGACAGACAGTTCAAACAGCTGAGCGTTCTGGATCCCGATTCCGCAGAAGGTTAAGTATCTCTTAAAGACCTCAATATCACGATTTGTGAACTCGTTGCTGCCATTGGTCTTGTTGATGATCTGAGCGACTCCAATGACATCGCCCTCGTAGTTGCAGATGGGCATCGACAGGATCAGCGTGGTCTTGTACCCGGTCCTTAAGTCGATCTTGCTGTTGAACCTAGGGTCGCTGTACGCGTCCTTGATGTTGATGATCTCCTTGGTCTGAGCGACGTACCCAGCGATCCCAACCCCAAAAGGGATCCTGATCTCCTCTGAGTTGGCCTTTTGGATCGCGTCCTCCAGCTCGGTGTCCTGGGTCACGTCGAACAGCTTCGCGACCAGATATCGCTCGTCCTGCGGACCCTTGGCCAGAAACAGGCTGCCCCTGTCCGCGTGAGTCAGCAGCCCGACATTGACGAGGATCTTGTGGCAGAGCACGTTGATGTCCAGCTCGTTGGCCACGTCGCGGATCAGCTCCATGAAAAGCTCACCTTCGTCTAGCTGGGTCAGCTCTGCTCGTCTCCCGGACATTGACGTCGACAACCTGGAACCCAATAAAGCGTTGAATTTCATAGCTTAGATGATGATAATGATGATTGGTTACCGGTTGGGGCTCTTGGAGCGCTTAATGGGCGAATTAGAAGCCAGCCAGGACTGGAAAAGGTCGGTAGTCACGCTGTTCCTCTTTCTGGGCTGGCTCTCCTGGGATTTCTGACCCCGGACAATTAGGCTTGATTGCTGCTTGAGGAGACTCGTGTTCAAAAGCTTTACTTTTAATTCATTAGATGCTTTGTCCCGCAGCCAGGCTTCCACTACCAGGGGGTTACTTTCCAGGTATCTAATTAACGAGATGAGTTTTTAATAGTGGGGTGGTTTAGAGAAGGGGAAGGAGGAGGAGCTTTTGGTGATGGGAATGGTCAGATGTGAATTATATATGGTCACATATGGAGCGTGTGTGAAAATGAGAGGTCATATATGATCAGATACGAAGCACATAAACCGTATATGATCATAGATGAAGCACATGAATCATATGTGATCATATATGAAAGAAATGCATCATATACGGTGATGTATGCAATATGTGTGAATACATGATCATTTAAGTAACATAAAAGGTATTGAAAATCTATTGTCATATATGATCAGATATGGAGCATATAGATGATATATAGTTATGTTGGAACAAAATGTGATTGTAGAAGACCTTATGGAACATATGTGACGGTTTATGATCATATTCGGAGCATATAGATTGTATTGGGTCTCTTATGGAATATATATAAATTTGGGAGCATTAATTGTCATATATAGTTCGTATTCAGTCTAATATGGTAATTATGTGGAATTACAAGGTCATATATAGCATATAGCTACATAAGGAACAAATGAATCATATATGATCACATGTGAAACATATAAATTATATATGAATATATAAATCAAAAATGATTATATATGAATTGTGAAGGGTCTTACATTGAATATATGGGAAAATATGAGACTATATATAATCACATACGGTACATATCAATCATACATATGACCAATAGTCACATATGAATTGTAAATGCTTCTTATATGGTTTCATATGAGACATATGAATGAATTTGAGACCATATATATTCACATACGGAATATATGGACCATATATGATCACATACGGAATATATGAACCATATATGGTCACATACGGAAAATATGAACTACATAGGATTACATACGGAAAATATAAACCATATATGACCAGTTGATCACATACGGAATATATGAACCACATATGATCATATATGGAATATATGAACTACATAGGATCATATACGGAAAATATGAGCCATATATATGACCACATATGAAATATACGAATCATATGATCACATACGGAATATATGAACCATATATGATCATATACGGAATATATGAACCATATATGATCACATGTGGACAATATGCGTAAAGTAAAGGCCATATATGATCACATACGGAAAATATGAACTATTTATGATCACATACGATATATACCAATCATATCTGATCAGTGATCATATATGATTCGTATATCATTGATCACATACGGAAGATATTAATTATATACAATCAAATTTGGAATATATGAACCATATATGATCACATATGGACCATATGGGTAAATTTAAGATCATATATAATCAGATATGAAAAATATTAAATATATGAATCATATCTAGTAAAATATAGATCACATATAAAATAAAATTTTCTAAGCTTACTTTCCGACTCGTTCCATCGTAAGACCATCTTCTTCAAACTCATAAACAGTCTCCTCGCAGAGTGTCTTTTTCTTGGCCTTCTCCTTAGCATCCTTATCGTCGCTGGTGTTGTAAAGGTTATTGTTGCCCGCGGTGGTGTTCGTTTCAGATAAGGGTCCCTTGGAGTCACTAGACGACACTAACGTACACTCCCTTTTGTCCGGGGTCTCCGGCGATCTTGGTATCATCGAGATCTTCATTTCTCGATGTTTTGAACTTTTTATCTGTAAACAATGTCTTTTAGATTCGACGTACCGAGATTTATCTATACATTGAGATCTCCAATGTATCTGGAATGTTATTTTATTACCCAAATATATTTGATGTCAAATCCTTGTCAATGTCACTCGCTTCCACATCATCTCGTCCGTTTGCTTCCGTTAGTTTTTTTATCGATGAATGTTTTGTAATGAAATCGCGGTTTTGAGGATTCCATTTCCGGGTTTTAATTGCTAGCTAATTTTTTAAAAACATTTTAATTACTATCATTATTATTAAAAATAATTATTTATTCAAATTTTGAGTGTTTAACTTTTATAATTCTGGGTTAAATATTGAAATTATAAAAAAATCATATCAAAAGTTTTTTATAGAGAATTTTATTTCCAAGAAAGGTTTTCACAGTTTTGCTCTATCTTTCTTCTTTTCTTTAGAATTTGAATTTGAAAGTAAAAAAATAAAGGTATAGAAGTTATCTGTGAATTTAAAATGCAGATTCGTGAATTTAGAGTAAAAATTCTGGCTTATGTGTTGAGAATACTAAAAAGTTATAAGAAACCTTTTTGTTAGACAATTTAATTTTCAAAAAAAAATTTATTTTTAATTTTATTGTAGCGCTATTCCTTTAGACAGAATTAACAAAATAATGATATAAATTTAAAATAATTATTCAAAATAAAATATAATTATTATTATTATTATTTTAGAAATATTTCTGATCGGTGATTTTAATATTTATTAAAGAGGATTTATTACAAAATTTATAATTCAAAAAATAATTCGGAGTTATTATTATAATCTTTATTGTTTTATTTTATAATAATAATAATAATAATAATAATAATAATAGTAATAATAATTTTAATTTTTTCAGTTAAATGGGTACCCAGTCTAATACAACAAATTTTTATTTTTTCAATTTTTATAATAATAATAATAATTTGAAAATTTTTTAAGTTATTATTATTATTTTAAAAATTTTCAAAATTCAATAATAATAATTTTTTAGATTTTTTCAGTTAATTTGCTACCCAGTCTAATGCAATTTTTTTTCCCTTCAATTTTTATTTTAAAAATTTTTATAATAATAATAATATTATTTTTTTTTAGATTATCTAAAATATTAATCTCTTCCTTTTTGATTTTCCGACTCAATGGTACGAGCTACAGAAAAATTGATCCAAACTTTTTTCTCAAGAATAAACTAATCTAAAAAAAAAATCTCAACAAATTTTCCAATATTTTCACTATTTCCTCCAGAATCTGCACTCTAAACCTTTTGCAAACTCCACCAATAATTTCTCACCTTTAAACTCAAATTCTACGCAAACTAAATAGACCAAAATTGATAAGGATTTTTTCGATTTAAAACAAAATTTTCTCCAAAAAAGCTTTGATACAATCAATCCTAAGCCCAGAATTTAATCTTAAAAGTTAAAAAATAAAAACTTTTTTTTTTCTGAAAATCAATTAATCCGAATTTTTAATTAAAATTTCCTCAACAATATTCAGGTAATGTCTTGATTAATTTACCTCACTAATTCCAAGCAATACTACCACATAAATGTTGTATACATTCCAAAATGACCTTGATAACTTGTCGCCCGGACAAACAGCCTCAAAAAATAGTGACCTGAAACACCTGGGAGATTATCCGTATCTGTGAGTAATAATGTAAACAACTCGCCAGTCGGTCGAAAAAAATGTAAAGAACGGCATCGAGAACCGAAGCTCCGAGCTTACTGGCAGGTACATTCGATACGAGAAGGCAAAACTAGCAATAGAGCACTAGCACCACCAGTAACCCCGTGGCGAGCTTCTACGTTCTCGATATATATCTGTATATATGTTATCAAATCAGCCTATATATAGATATATATAAATATATATGTATAGCGGGAAGAAGATCGATACCGTGGATAGAAAGTGGTCCCGGACCAGCCATCCAGCAGCCAGCAATCCGCCCGTTTGTGTGCGTGAGGGGAGAAAAGGGGTGGGGGTGGTAAGTTAAGCTAATGCCGGAGGGTGAGAAAAAAACGAACCCCGAGGCATAAAATGTAGAGCTTTTTTTCAGGAATTTTAAACAAGAAACACTTAACCCGTCGCTCCTCACTACGGTAAATTCGAAATGATTTTAAAAGCGGCGCCTTGATTGGCTTTTAACAAAAGAATCGTTTCAGGGGTGGAAAATGGAGATAAAAGAGGGGAGAAAGGAGTTTTGGGGTGAAATAATTGAGAAATTTGGGCGTCGAGCGGCGAAAAATCGGTATATGATTGTATGTGATGATGCATGGCTTGAAGGTCGCCTCCCGGATGACCTCAGAAGTCCTAATTAACGATTTTTAGGAGAAAGTTTGGGATTGGAAGCATATATGACGACTTTTTTGGGGTATATGATGCTATATGACGCTGTTGGTGTCATATAGAAGTCATTTTTTGAAATAGTTACATTAAAAAAGCCTTAAGTAATGATTTTTTAAACTACTAATTGAGTTAAAAACCGTATATGATAGTAATTTAGGCGTATATGATGCTATCTGACGCTAACAGTGTCATATAATGTTTATCTATTGTTTTAATGACACTTGAAAAGTCTGAAGTAATGATTTTTGAAGCAATACTTAAATTTGACCACATTTGGAACAGTATATGATAGTAATTTGGAGGTATATGATGCTATATGACGCTGATAGTGTCATATAAAAGTCATTTTTTCGAATAATTACATTAAAAAAGCTTTACTTAATGATTTTTTGAACTACTAATTGAGTTAAAAACCGTATATGATAGTAATTTAGGCATATATGATGCTATCTGACGATAACGTGTCATATAAAATTGATTTTTTGTATTTATAATACTTAAAAGATCTGAAGTAATGATTTTTGAAGCAATACTTAAATTTGACCACATTTGGAACAGTATATGATAGTAATTTGGAAGTATATGATGCTATATGACGCTAATTGTGTCATATAGAAGTCATTTTTTGGAATAGATACATTCAAAAAATTGTAAGTAATGATTTTTTAAACTACTAATTGAGTTAAAAACCGTATATGATCGTAATTTAGACGTATATCATGCTATCTGACGATAACGCGTCATATAAAGTTTATTTATTGTATTAATAATACTCAAAAAATCTAAAGTAACGATTATATGAAGTAATATGTCAATTTGAACACATTTGGAACAATATATGATGGTAATTTAAGCGTATATGATGCTATATGACGCTGATAGTGTCATATAGAAGTCATTTTTTGAAATAGTTACATTAAAAAAGCCTTAAATAATGATTTTTTAAACTACTAATTGAGTTAAAAACCATATATGATAGTAATTTAGGCGTATATGATGCTATCTGACGCTAACAGTGTCATATAAAGTTTATATATTGTTTCAATGACACTTAAAATGTCTGAAGTAACGATTGTGTGAAGCGCAATACTTAAATTTGACCTTATTTGGAACGGTATATGATGATAATTTGAAGATATATGATGATATCTGACATTTGCAGTGTCTTATAGTGTAAATTTTTTGGACTAATAATACTCAAAAAAATTCTAGGAGCTGAATCTTTGAAGTTTTACCTGAGTTTTGTAGAATTTAGAACAGTATATAATCGTAATTTAGGCGTATATGATATTATCTGATACTGATGGTGTCATATGAAGGCCATTTTGGGAATAAATGACACCCAAAGAGTGTCAAACAATGATTATTTAAGACACTATCTGAGTTTAACTAAATTTGGAACAGTATATGATGTCTATTTTGGCGTATATGACGCTATCTGACACTAATGGTGAAATATCAAGCTTATGTTCTGGACTAATGCTCTAAAAATCATAAGGAACAATTTTCCGATGCAATATATAATTATAAGCTTACTTAAAACTGTATATGATGATAATTTTGTCATATAAGGTCTCATATGATTCCAAATCATGAAATATGAATTAAATGCGGTTATACGGTTTCTAAAAAAAAATTATATAGCATTTTGTAAGCTCAACGAAGATCTGTTTTCTGATTTAGAGTAGATTGAACTGTCATATATGATCGTATATGGCATCTAATGGGTCAGATATGATCATATAGCGTTTGTAATTGAATTTGTAGTGATTCCAACTGTCATAAATCGTCAGATGAGTTACTGTAGATCATTTAAGATCATATATATGACATCTGATAGATCAGATATGATCATATAACGTTTATAACTACATTTCAAGTGATTTTAATTGTCACACTTCGTCAGATGAGTTACTGAAGATTATATAAAATCATATATATGACATCTGATAGATCAGATATGATCATATAACGTTTATAAGTGCATTTAAAGTGATTTTAACTGTCATACGTCGTCAGATAAGTTAGTGAAGATCGCATAAGATCATATATATGACACCTGATAGATCAGATATGATCATATAACGTTTGTAACTGAATTGGAAGTGATTTTAACTGTCATAAATTGTCAGATGAGTTACTGTAGATCATTTAAGATCATATATATGACATCTGATGGATCAGATATGATCATATAACGTTTATAACTGCATTTAAAGTGATTTTAACTCTTATATGTCGTTGGATGTGTTACTGAAAATCACATAAGATCGTATATATGACCTCTGATGGATCAGATATGATTATATAACCAAAAAATATTGAATATTCAATATAAAGCCCGCAATTGAAGACAAATTGAAAATAACTTCGCAATTGTAATTCAAGTTTTTATTGATCCAAATGACTTATGTTTAAAAAACAATTGTTGGGACAGTCATTGAAAGTAATTAGTCACCTCAGACAATGTGGCTTTATTTAATTATTCAGCATTTCTACTCGACGCTCATTATACTGAAGTGCTTCAACTGTGGGAACGAGAAGTGAATAGTAAAGTACGTAACTCTAACATTTGCTTATTTCTTCTTTTAATTCATCTTTACAACCCCAGATATTAATACACTACGGAATTAATGAGTTAATGAATATTTCAGTTTTATTCTAAAATTACTCACCCGTTATATATTAATATTATACTAATGTACAATTTACTCTGCGGTGGTATCAAAGGAGAAATTAGTAATTCTAATTACTAAGTGGTTTGCGGGCACATAAACTTCGACGGTCTCTGCTGACCTATATATAAACAGTCTTATGGACTCATTAAACTTTTAAGTATTCGATATAGTCGGAATATTCATCAACGATCTGGTAAACTTTCAACTTGGACAACAAGAATAATACTAAGTTTTTAGGAAAAAAAAAGTTTTTTTATCTTTTCTTCGGGATAACTCATGAACTGATGAACCGATTTTCACCTAACTTGTGGTAGTCGACTTTGTCTTTTTACCTTTAGGTCCCTATAAAATTTCAAAAGAATCGGTTGAGTAGTTTTGGAGATATCGCAAAAAAACATTGGATCAAAAAAATTATTTTGGATATTTTTTTGATCCATCGTTTTTTGACGATAACTTTTGATCTAATTAACCGAATTTGACCAGGTTAGTTTTAATCGATTCAGTGTTGCCTCCTTTAGGTCTCTACAAAATTTCAAAAAAATCGGTCAAGTAGTTTTAGAGATATCGCAAAAAAATACTGGATCAAGAAAATTATTTTGGATATTTTTTTGATCCATCGTTTTTTGACGATAACTTTTGATCTAATTAACCGAATTTGACCAGGTTAGTTTTAATCGATTCAGTGTTGCCTCCTTTAGGTCTCTACAAAATTTCAAAAAAATCGGTCAAGTAGTTTTAGAGATATCGCAAAAAAATACTGGATCAAGAAAATTATTTTGGATATTTTTTTGATCCATCGTTTTTTGACGATAACTTTTGATCTAATTAACCGAATTTGACCAGGTTAGTTTTAATCGATTCAGTGTTGCCTCCTTTAGGTCCCTACAAAATTTCAAAAAAATCGGTCAAGTAGTTTTAGAGATATCGCAAAAAAATACTGGATCAAGAAAATTATTTTGGATATTTTTTTGATCCATTGTTTTTTGATGATAACTCTTTATCTAATTGACCGAATTTGACCAGGATAGTTTTAATCGATTCAGTATTGCCTCCTTTAGGTCTTTACAAAATTTCAAAAAAATCGGTCAAGTAGTTTTAGAGATATCGCAAAAAAATACTGGATCAAGAAAATTATTTTGGATATTTTTTTGATCCATTGTTTTTTGATGATAACTCTTTATCTAATTGGCCGAATTTGACCAGGATAGTTTTGATCGATTCAGTGTTGCCTCCTTTAGGTCCCTACAAAATTTCAAAAAAATTGATTAATTAGTTCCAAAAAGATAGAGAATCAAGAATATAATCTTGAAATCTTTCTGGATCCATCATTTTTTTGCATTATTTCCGAAACTGCTGAACCGATTTTGACCCGCTTTGCAGCAATTGACGCAAAATTAAACTCTCCACACATTTTAAAACTCAAAAAACCTTGAAGGTAATAAAAAACTTCAATATTTTGAAATTGTCCAAAAGAAATAAAAATTTTATCATTTACATTTTTGATTACCACTTTAAATTACTTTATTCGGATTTCAAATTCAATAGCAATGTTGGCATAACTACAAACTTCCGAGTACCGCGAACCCGATTACGATGTATTGATCCATTCTAGAATTATAATGAGTTTAGTTTACCTCAACAGTTTTACAAAAAAAAGTAATCCAATGACCTTTAAAATTAATTTATTTGATAATTACATTGAAATACAATTCAATAATCAAATCATAGATCATCATCATCCTGAAACCTCTCGTAGTCGTGGCTAGTTTTGTTGATGGAACTATACTCTTTTACATCTTGACCCAGCAAAGTGTGTTTCCTCGTGATGGCAAGGTAGATCAGCAGTGGGCAGTACGCTAGATTTATCAGCCCGACTATCCTCATTACCCACTGGAAGCCGATCATCCTGACGAGCTCACTACCGACAATTGGCCCTGAAAGGACAAAAAGAAATCTACTTTACCAAATTCACCAAAAACAGATTCCTTTAATTCTTGCAACTTCTCTGAGACGACTGGAAATTTTCAATAATTTTACAAGCCGTTGAAGTAAGTGGAACTTACCTAAAGAATACGCAAGACTGACCGCAACCTGCTGAATTGAATAAACAGGCCCGTAGTTTCCATCCTGATCGACGAGACTAGCCAGCAGTGGTACCAAGGCAGCATCTGCTATGCCGATACCCAACCCCATGCCCAAATGCGGGATAACCAGCTGCCCCATAGTACTCGCAGTCGGTAATAAGATCACGCTGATACCAACAAGCGCCATCGCTAAGACAGCTGTTTTGCATCTTCCATACCGATAAGCGGTCATTCCGAAGCAGTTTGTCCCTAAAAGGTATCCAACACTGTCCGGGATGAAGACCATGCCCAGCTGCCACTTCTAGAACCGAAATGGAAGTCAATTTGGGGCCTAATTTAAGGAAAATTTAGAAATTACCTTGGGCTTGATGTTAGTTTGCAGCCAAATCGGCAAACACGGCTCCAAGATGGCCATCGGAGATGTTGAGCACAAAATGGCACCGGCTATGATCAGAATCTTGCCCTGGAGGAGCAGTTTTATCCAACTGGTATTTGACTCGGTCTTCTGGATCTTGGAATTCGTTTCTGTGTCCCACAGGAAAATCTGAAGGCCTGTTTTCAAGATTAGAAAATCAGTTTTTTGGATAATGGCTGAGGTGAGTCATCATAACTTGTAAATGGATCAATATATAGAACCTGGGTTTATGGAACGTAAAAGTGTGGAGTTACTTCCAGGTTGCAATAGAATTTTATATCAATCGGAAAGACTTTAGGTCGAAGTTGGAGGGGAGGTGTCACTCATAAAAAAAAGATTTTTTTTTTGGAAATAATTGAAAATCTTGAAATTCAATATGTTGAACGGGGTTTTTTTAGTTTTTTAATTAGTTAGGTTTCAGAGGTTGAGATTTTGTGTCGATTTCTTCAAACCAGATCAAAATCGGTCAAGTAGTTTTGAAGATATTGCAAAAAAATAACGGATCAAGAAAGTTTTCAAAATTATGTTTTTGATCCATTATTGTTTTGCAATATCCCTGAAACTACTTAACCGCTTTTTCTAAAATTTTGGAGATCTAAAGTTTATGGAGATCTTGGGGTGTTATCACAAAATCGATTACTAAAAACCGGATCAAAAACAGTCACATAGATTAAAAGTTATGCGGAAAAAAAATCATATGAAAAATTACAATAGTAACATCGTAATCCGTGACTAGTCTTTCGATATCTTCACTTCTATGATTTTATATTTCGAAAATTACTATTTACTCATGAATTTTTACGATGTTAACATCGTAACTATCACAAATAATGTAAGTTATAAATGACATAAAAATTATTACGATGCTGCCGTCTACAGAATACAATTTGAATTATTGAAAATTACGATGTTATTTAGTAAATTTTTTTTCGTTATAGCAAACTACTGTATGAAGGGTCTTATTGTGTGACTGAATAGAGCTTTTGGATAATTCCTCAGATAGCGTAAGAGGATTAACCTTGTACTTGCGACGGAGAATAAACCGGGTTCGATTTCTCGGTGGTTCAACATTATTTTTTCGGTGACCGAAGCTTCTTTTTAATTTGAGTGATAGAAAAAATATTATTATAGTAACATCGTAATTTTTCTTGTAGTGTATAAGATTGTGCTTAAAGTTGAACAGTACAATTCTTTGAAAAAAATTTACGATGTTGCATCGTATAAATTATGATGTTTTAGTTCTAGTCCGGCACTACAATGTCCTATACTAAAAATTACGATGTTTTCATCGTAATTTTCCGTATAATTTTGCAATATCTCCACTGTTTTTTTGCAATATCTCCGAAACTACTTGACCGATTTTTTTGAAACTTCGTAGGGATCTAAAGATATGAACACGGAGTCAATTCTTACAATCCAGATTAAACTCTATTAATCTGTATGCAAGTTACCTTCAATAAAAAGCTGAACTTACTTAGCGGAATCAAGATCAGAGAAGAAATTAGCAAGAATGGCGCCATCTTGCCTTCGATATCATAAAGAATAGATCCAATGGGGTACCCAACAAGGACTCCCAGAGCAATGCTGCCCAGAACGAAGCCCATGACCTTCGAACGTTCTCCTTCATCCGCGTACTGTGCTGCCACCATGGACATTCCGGAGACTCCAATACAGGCGGAAGAAACTCCCTGGATGCTTCGGGCCAGGAACAGAAACTCATAAGACCGTCCAAATGCAAACACTGGAAGAACACAAGGTCACTAGGCAACTTGTGACTTAAGAAATTTTGTAGCAATAAAAATACTTACAAACGGCGGCGAGGATCAGGCAAAGGTTGCCGATAAAGAGGGGCTTGAAGTACCCGACAGTAGAAGTGACGCTGCCGATAAAAGGGTTTAGCAGAAGTTGGACCAGCGCCTTTGAGCTCAAAAGAAGTCCAACGCGGCCATTTTCGTCCGTCGAATTTTCGCCGATACTGCAGAGGTAGTCGGGAATTATCGGCACTAGAATGAAAGTTGTTTAAAAAAATTACCGATAAGCGATAAAATACTGGGTAACTTACCGACGACGGTCAGGAGGACGTTATCCAGGAACAGACTCAAATAGACCACAGCCACAAGAACTAACTTCAATTTAGGGGCCTCCATCCTCCACGAAATCTGTAACGAAGCTTCCGGGTGTCTCACGCCATTTTGAAGGCCTTCGCGGGACTCGAACCCGAAGTAAACTAAACACCGAGGTCTTAGATTCGCTTCCAAACTGAACAACTCCATGGTCTACGCACCCTTTAATACCTCCACTGGAATATATCATCCGGTGACTGTTTCTGCGCACCACCCCGTCGGACAACCCCACTCGGTAAAATAATTATTTACGAATCAGTGAGTTTTTCAATTTATTTACAAGCTTATCTCACGGCCCCAGATGCTCAAAAATCGCTTTTAAGCTTAAACTACTGGAAAAAAAATTATTTTACTGGAAAAATACCAGCAACTCTTTGGGTTTTATGATCCTTGATGGAAAAATTATTTTAGAAAATTTTTAAATGGTAGTTTAATGCAAAAAAAAGTGTCTTTTTAGGAAAATTAGAAGTTTTTTTGTTGGGGGCGCTGGAAATTTAACGTTAGAAATTTTTTAGAGCTTCTGGATCGGGCTCATTTTGAAGCTGAGACTCTCTAGATTATGATAATACTGGCAAAGACATGAAAAAAAATTTTTAAGAGTAATTTCAAGCAATTAGAAGCAAAAAAAAGGCGTTTTTTTAGGAAAATTAGAAGTTTTTTAATGGAGACGCTGGAAATTTAAGGTTAAAAATTTATTTAAGCTTCCGGATTGGGCTCATTTTAAAGCTGAGACTTTCCAGATTATGATAATACTGGCAAAGACATGAAAAAAAATTTTTTAATAGTAATTTCAAGCTATAAAAAGTAAGAAAAAGGCGTTTTTTTGAAAAATTAGAAGTTTTTTGTTGGAGGTGCTGGAAAAATTCTAGAAAATTTTTTTAAGCTTCTGAAGTGACTTAGTTTTAAAGGAGGCTCTTCAAAGTTTATTTAAAGATTTTAAATGTAATTTTCGAGCAAGTAGCCGCAGAGTTACAAAGATTTGAAAAATACAAAGGATTGTAGAAAAAAAGTCTGGACTAACGTTCGCCGTAAAGTGAAACAGATTCATCGATTCAGTGAGCGCACCTGCTCCAGATTGCTGAATTACGATAATTTCATTTCGTATCGACTTTTTTTTAATTGAAAAAAAATTCTTTAGACAAAAAAAGAAAATTAAATTGAATTTTAAGTTTTAAGGAAATCATTTATAATACAATTGGAATAGACTGGAGACGCAAATATATTTATTTATGCTAACACTTATCGAAGATTTATTTATGGAAGATGTGTGTGTTGTCGCAATCCGGGAAAACCCATTGTTTAATGAGGAAAGTTTATTTAAGAGTAATCTGACCGGCCGACCTTAATATAATGTGAATTAATAATATTGAAGAGAGCGATAAAATAATATAGTGAATTCAAATTTATGAATTATTTTTTTCAATTTAATTTATTAAAAATTGAGAAAAAATATTGAGGCAGTATTTCACTTTGTTAATAAATGTAATATATTAAAATAAATACGCAATAATATCCTTCAATCGATTAGTTTAATACCATAAAATAGAATACATACAGATTTTAATTAGGATACTGAATTAATTACTCGTGTAATACAGAAAATCTTGCAAACTCTGAATCAAAATGCACAAAATATTTTAACCCAAAAACAAAATTTTTGAGTCAAAAAATCCGTTATTTCTGTGTAGAAAATGTAAAATCACACGGTAAAGACAAAAATACTCACAGATAAATCACAATAATCGGTAATAAAATTGAACAAAACTCATCTGCTAATTAGATGGTTGTTTTTTTCTTTCTTTGGATCACTCGCGGCTATTTGAAGGACCAGCCCGGCCCGGGAAAAAAATTGTCCGTGGTTGTGATCTTAATCTCTCAATAAACTGTCGTCGCTCCTTTTCCTGTCTTTGATATTTAGTGTAATAATGGTTTACAATGAGTTCAATTCCAAAAATGACCAAACTCCACAGCAAAGTAGCCGCAAACATAATGACATAAAACACCAAGTTATCAAAGTCGATCCGTTCATAGTTTTCAGCTTTTTCAATTTTCTCCATCTTCTCTTTTCTTTTCCATAGGTTTTTCGTTATCTTTTCACCGTAATGATAAATTAATCCTGTTTCCATCGATATCGAACGAACCTTATCAATTTTATCCTTCAGCGCCCAATTTTTCTTCGTCCAAAACACGAAATATTTCTTAAACGTGATTTCCTTTGATACATAGAGATTCTGAAGCTTTAAGACGTTGCGGAGTTGTTTTACAGTTATGTCAATGCAAGCAATGGTCGAATTTTGTTGGGCTTCTTTCATACATTTGTTCAGATCAGAATGACGCGATGGATGCAAGTATTTCTGGTCTTCTTCGGTCACCCACAATTTTTCATTTATCATGTCATTCTCTAATAATCCGTCGTAGTACACATGATACTGGTTGTCGAACAAATCCTTTAGAGTTTCGACATTGCGTCTTGCAGGTTGGGATAGAATGGCCGAGATTTGTCCTTGGAATTCGGGCATCACCACAAAAATGAATAAAAATCCGAAAAAATAAATTATCCTCATCGATAGACGTCCCATTGGAGATATTATCCCCATGTTCAGTGACATGCTCACAATGTCCATGATTCCTTTGCTCACGTTAAATTTATTGTTCATCATTATAATCACAGCAATCAAGAACAACACAAAGAGTGTGATAAAAATGAACTGAAGATTTATCTGGATTTCTGTGACTGCGGTCAAATAATCTGTCTTCATTGTCAAAATTGAATAGTGCATTTCATGATACTCTTTCACAAAATCAGTCAATCTAGGATTTGTATCAGCTAATTGAGTCGCGACGTTTTTCGCATCATACTGACGATTGAAAAGATTTTCATCAAAACCGTATTCTATATTTTTTAAATTGAAATTGTTTTCGAGGATCTTAATTGACGCTGTTACTGTCATATAATCAGGTAATGAAGACAATCCGACGTCTTTGAACTTTTCGAAATATTTCATGTACTCAATAATATTTCTCTGCTTGTCTTGTTCAGGTAAATTTTTTTTAATGACCGGGACTATTAGTTTTATTTGATGACCATCTAAATACTGAGTTTTATCAAAATAAATATTTTTATAGTTGTTCTTCAAATCTGAAAATCAATTGAAAAATATGATTTAGCTTATACAATTAGGTCGTAAATGATATTATGAAACTTGATAATTACCTCTCGGATTCTGCAAACTGTATAGTGTCGCTTTTGTTTTACTATTGCTCTTGGCATTTGCAAATTTAACTTGATTCCAAGGTGACGGAGCGTATTGTGTGTAAGGGTTCAGAGTGTAGACCATTGTTGAATCTTTTTTGTCATCATAAGATACATAGTAGGATATTAAAATATCGAGGCTTGCAAGGAATCCAAGAGCTATACTAGCGTCCATATCATGCGTCCCTTCAGAAACGTCGAGAAGGAAAATTGGCGACTTTATGTTGCAGGTTGATGAGCGCATGAACCCAAAGATGAGTGATGTCAGTTTCGGCAGAGATTCGTATCTGAGGATGTACGTAGGATGGCTGGGAAGATATCCTTCGATTTGCTTCCGTTTCTGATCACTATTTATAACGATTAGCGGTTTTCCAGAATCGACATTCCCACTTGCCATTTGGTCATCAACTAAATCAGAAGATATGATCAGTGGATTCGAATTATTTGCAAATCCTTTATCAATCAATTCCATCTGCAAGAATAATAAGCAATTTTAACAAAGATTAAAAATTATTAAAATAAAAAAAAAAAGTGTGGTCACGCTTGAGCTCAAGGCATGCAAAATAATCAACTCACCGTATGATTGATGAGGTGTGATTTGATTTCTGAACTGTGAATGCTGCTTCCATTTGAAAAGTGACCACTAAATACGCAACAGCAGCACAAAAAAACTTTAATTAGCTGCATTATTGATCTGCTGATGGTCAATCCAGAAAATCGATTCCGCACAATTAAAAATTAGAAATGTTTTAAAACTTCGAAAATCTTTGATATATTTAAAAAAGCGACTTTGATGCGTCTGACGAGCTAGTAACTGATCAGTTTGAAGTAAAGTTTCCTACTGAATGTTTTGCAATATGTGTCACTCTGTTTTTAATTGTTGCTAATGACAACTACAGCTCACGATGTGGCACAACATCGTAAAAATTAGTGATGAGCTTCGTGTAAAAGACACGTCAACTAGGTCAGCTATTACTTGGTTCTTGCAAAGGAGTTTTTATTGCTGCCATAAAACTGGCTGAGGCCTCCACAAGAACTACTGGTGCTGTAGAAACTATTGACCAAAAGTCCCTCGGGAGCTGTGCTCTAGCCCTTTCATTTCACTAATCTTTCATCAGTAAGCAAATAATAACATACGTTATAAACTTGACCGTCAGGTATTTCCATCCGGTGCAACCAACGTGTCGATTTATTGAATAGATGAAGGGATAAATAAAATATGAATAAAAAATTAAAAAAACGCTCTCTGAGCTCAAAGAGTCAGCTGTCCTAAGCTTTGGAGCTCTTCGAGCTTAAAAGTCTGATAGAAGTTTAATGAAGCAGTATTTTTTAAATTTTCAAACCGCAATGACTTCTGAATGAGTGAACCGATTTTCACGCGGTTGGCAGCATTCCACGCAGTTTTTTTAATTCTATGATGGAATCTTAAACACAAACTGGTCAAACCACAAATTTTAGAGAAATTTGAAAAATTTCCTTTTCCCGAATTTTTTCGACAACGATAACTTGCGAACTAATCAACCGATTTTCACGTTCTTGGCGGCAATCAACGTGGTTTTTCAGGCTCTAATAATTATTTTATTTCACCAAAAACGATCAAGAAAGAAATGTCGTAGTTGTGTAAAAAAAACACTTTTTTCGAAATTTATCGTTTTCGAAAACTCTCGAACGAATAAATCGATTTTGACGGGACTTAAAAAAAAAAAAAAACAATCATTTAGAAATTTTTCAATGGCTATAATTTTCGAACACGTCGTTCGATTTTCTTGGTTAGTGGCATTCGACGCAGTATTTTGTGTCAAAAAACGTAGTTATAAAATCTTTAGTTACTAGTTTAATATTTTAAAACTAAATCAGATAAAACTATGTAAATTAATCTATATATGGATCGCTAGAAAGCGATTCTGACCATTTTCCCGGGGATGTCACTAATGCCCTCATGTGTGTATGTATGTAACCCTCTCACCACGGAAAGAAATACATACTGTATGGTTTAGAAGATTTTTCATTGGATAAAAAATCGTCAGCATAGATGATTTGGCTATGGTGGGAATAGTAACATCGACAATAGTTATAGCCGATGCGCCAATGTCACTATGGGCGTCAGCCCCATAGTGACTGGCGACATTCACGATGCTCCTAGCAGAACAGTCTATGCATTATCGTTATATCTCTTATGCTAATATTGGAGTTGTAACAAATTTAGTTTAATTGATTAAATAGGTTATGCACTGATAAAAGGATTTATTAACTATTAATAATTAAATTTATTTGAAAACAATTATTTAATTTATTAAATTTTAATAAATATTTTTCAACATTAAATAAATATTTATTTGGGAGGAGATTAGATTTATTTATCAAAGGTTAATAAATATTTATTTATATTTAACAAATATTTATTAACAGTTAATAAAGATTTTGTAGAGTGAATTTGTTTCGCTTGCAATGTCATCTTTATAAATTATTTGCATTAATTATATTATGTTATAATAACGTTTATTATAAAATACCAAATTCTATCACAGCTCATAATTATCTTTTATATTTCAAAGTATTAAAAACGATAATTTATTTATTAAATTAATATCATGTATTTCAGTAGCTATAAGGTTATAAAAAGTGTCAAAAGAAAATTGCTATTTTTGCGTTTTATATTAAATAAATATTTTTCAACAGTTAACAAATATTCATTAACTATTAATAAATATTTATTAACGGTTAATAAATTGTACTAAACAAATTACTTATTAACTGTTAATAAATATTTTTTACCTGTTAACAAATATTTATTAAATCGTATGATCTTAAAAAATCCTTCTATCAGTGTGCTCAATGAAAAATATTTAAAAGTTTTGTATTAAACTAGTTTTAATGTAACAATTAATTTCTAAGTAGTTAAATATTATTTAGTAAAAAGAGAAAAATAAAAAACTTGGCGTATGAAATTAGAATAAACATTGTTTTTAATTTATTTTTATTTCTAATTACTATACAGCAATTTCTAATTATTTATTTCCAATTCTTATGATATATTACAATATTTTTTTTTTTTAATAATGAATTTATATTAAATCCAACGTTTTGGAATGTAAGTTTTACCATTCCCAGCGATTACCTTTCGAGTCACTACAAAATTTTAAATCTGAATAAAATAAACAATACCACCTCTTATCTAGAAAAAATATCACATAAATTTAGGTTAGTTTACTTATTTTGATGATTTTTTTATTATATTAATTATTAGAGATGTATTTGATTGAATGATAGTACTTACTATTTCAACAAAATCAAATCAATATATTATATTCATTACGTTTATTTATTGCGTTATATTTATACTTGTTACTATATTTATACTCGTTACACTTGTTAACACACGTTTATTTTCTTTTTACTAATTTATAAATTTTTATGTCGATATAGTAGCTGTACCCATAAAATATT